GTTGGTTAGAGCGGAAGGGTAAACAGTGATATGAAGGATGGTTGCCAGCAAGTGAGGGTGAGAGGAGTTAATGATAAAGCGAAAAGTGGACCATTTAAAAGAAGGTCGTTCTAAAAGCGATACAAAGGAAGAAAGATTGAGCAAAATAAATGCTTAGAGCTAAGAAAGCCCCCGAGTGAGGAAAAATTCGAGACGCTTGGCGAGCCGGTGAAAGAAGGCGCCACGGTACAGTGTACGCAAAGATGGCCCCCCCCCCGTGTTTAAATAGATTAAAGTAATGGAGAGAAAAGGGCGAAGGGGACGGGGGGAATATGCGAGTGAGAGGAGAACGGTATCCTAGGGACATATAGCGTGAGAAAAAAAAGGGAACAAGGGAGGGGGAATGTTGGGGGGAGAGGCTATGGCCCCCCCGGTCGCCCCCCCCGCCACCGCCGTCCCCCCGGCTCCCGCCCCCACCCCGCGCCCGTCCCCCGCCCCCTCCCGGGCCGCCGCCCAGCGCCGCAGCGCTCGTAGTCCACCGTTAGGACGGGAAGGAAAAGCGCAGAATTTAAAGAGAAAAGGAAACATGGTTTTATGTATTAAAAATGCCTGCAGATTTATTGCATACAGGGGGGGGGGGGGGCCCCCAACCCCCCTTTTCCTCTCCTCTCTCTCCTCTCCTTCTCTCTCTTCTCTTCTCTCTCTCTCTCTCTCTCTTCTCTCTCTCTTTCTCTCTCTCCTCTCCTCTCTCTCTCTTCTCCTTCTCTCTCTTCTCTCCTCCTCTCTCTCCATCTCTCCTTCTTCCTCTCTCTCTCCTCTCTTCTCCTTCTCTCTCTTTCCTCCTCTCTTCTCTCCTCTCGTGCCTCTCCCTCTCTCTCTCCTCTCTCTCTCGTCTCTTCTCCTCTCTCTCTTTCCTCTCCTTCTTCTTCTCTCTCCATCTCTCTCTCTCTCTCTCCTCTCTCTCTCTATCTCTCTCTCTCTCTTCTCTCTCTCTCTCTCCTCTACGCTTCTCTCTTCTGAAACCTCTCTCTCTCTCTTTCTTGAACACTCCTCTCTCTCCCTCTCTCTCTCCTCTCTCCTCCTCTCTCTCACTTCTCTCTCTCTCTCCTCTCTCTCTATTCTCTCTCTCTCCTCTCCTCTCTCACTCACCATCTCCTTTCTTTGAAACTCTACTCTGTCTCTCTCTCTCTCTCTCATCTCTCTCTCTCTCTCTCTCCTCTCTCTCTCTCACTCTACTCGTCTCTCTCTACTCTCTCTCTCTGCTTGCTTTGAAACTCTCCTCTCTCTCTACTCTCTCTCTCTCTTTCTCTCTTCTCTCTCATCTCTCCTCTCTCTCTCTCTCTCTCTCCATCTCTCTCTCTCTCTCTCATCTCTCTGCTTTCTCTCTCTCCTTCTCTCTCTCTCTTCTGAAAAGCGACAGGGGTCACCACGAGTGATATATATACACCAACAAATATCTAAGAAAGTTGGATAGATGTCTTTAGATTTCAAACGCGACCCAACTATAGTGTCACTAGACTATTGACAATATTATGTAATCTAGTATTGATAATGCAGTAGTTTCCCAGTTCTTATTCAAAATCTTCTCTAAGTATTATTTTTATACTTTATATGAAATCTGAATTGAAATACGGGTGTTACTAAACGCAATATTGTACACTGTAGACTCATCGTTAACCGAAATCATCTAGCGTGCATCACCATTATGGTTCTATTACGACTTTCAGACATGGCAAAACTGATTACTAGGAACTAAAACGTAGATAGTATCATCCAACAGGACATTTATCCATGGCCAAATGTGAACCAGGCATAATTCTTTATACAAACAGAATAACATGAAAATATCAGGATGACTAGACCAAAGGGAATGGATTCATGTATTAACGCTTTAAACCCAATGCACCACATTCGAAATATGAACAGTGCCTTTACAAGCACCATGTACTAAACTCACTCAGACGTCACGCTAGTCAATATTGTTTCTGCTTTAATAGTAAGTGCATAAACTATAACTAAAATCATATAAACTGAACTCTCTTTTGGCGAAAGAATATTTTTGGCCAAATAATTCCTTCTATCCAGATGATGCGACGTGGGGAAGTGCACAGGCAGCTGCGACTTCTGTTCAGAGAAACCTGCGTCTTGGAGGTACAGTGTATCTAAATGTTTAACGACAAGACAAACCTAGCTCTTCCCTCTCTCTCATCATTCGTCTCACTCTCCTCTCTCTCTCTCTCTCTCTCTCTCTCTCTCTCCTCTCTCTCTCATTCTCTCTCATTCTCTCTCTCATCATCTCTCTCTTCTCTTCTCTCTCACTTCTCTCCTTCTCTCTCTTTCTTCTCTCTTCTGTCTCTCTCCTCCTCTCTCTCTCTCTCCCTCTTCTCTCTCCTCTCCGTCCTCTCTCTCTCTCTCTCTCATTCATACATACACCATACATGTCGCCCTGTGTAGCACTCTCATTCTCTCTCTCCCTCTACCATCGCCACTCTCTCTTCGTCTGCAACCGTCATGGTATACA